TTAATTTTACTGTTTTTGTTTTTCGAAAAATTGAAATCTAGAAAAACGTTTAATAGTTCATTGCATTTCAATACCGCTATTTATAAACACATAGTCCAGGGCATAATTTTCCTCTGTCTAACAAGACAGAAAAATCAACAAATTCAAAAACAAACAAACTCGACAGCAAAGTTTTGCTGCATGAGAAATATCTTTTGTCCAAATAATTATGCATTTAATATAAGAGAAAACAGCTTGAATTTGTCTGACAGCCTAGAGCCTTGCCACTTCCATTCTAGTAAACATTAACTCAAATTTATACACCAACCCCTGAATCCTCTCTCTCTCTCTCGTATATATATAATAACTGGTCTAACACACTATATTGAAGATGCTCGGCTCATTAGACAATGATTAACGAGCGTGCTCTGACAAGATAGGAGTCTGCATGGGTGCCCAACTATTGTCACGGGTGAATTGTGGGGTCGGGTCTGTTGTACTTCAAACCCCTTGATCGGACTTTTGATAAACTTGTATGGACAGAAATGGACGGTTGTTATTATTCTGACACTGCTTTGTAACTGCTAAGTTATGAGGATGATTATTTTTACCAAAAATCGGGATAATCTTGATGGTATTAAAACGATTTTTTATTCCAAGTTCTGATGGAAAGCCGTTAGGAATCAAGATCGTCTGCTTATTATTATTATCATTNTTTTTTTTTTTTTTTTTTTTTTTTGTGCAAGAATATGGATGCCAAAACTTTTGTAGGAAAATTTCAGAATTGACGATTGCAAATTTCAGGATAACATGAATAGTATTAAAACGATTTTTTATTATACGTTCTGATGAAAAACTGCTTAATATCAAGATCGTCTCTTTACTTATTTATTTTGTACGAGAATATTAATGTCAAAATGATAATATCAAAATGAGAATATGAATGCCAAAATGATCGTATTAAAACAATTTTTTATTCCAAGTTCTGATGGAAAGCCGTTAGGAATCAAGATCGTCTGCTTAACTTTTTTTTTTGTACAAGAATATCGATGCCAAAACTTTTGAGGAAAATTTCAGAATTGACGATTGCAAATTTCAGGATAACATGAATAGTATTAAAACGATTTTTTATTATACGTTCTGATGAAAAACTGCTTAATATCAAGATCGTCTCTTTACTTATTTATTTTGTACGAGAATATGAATATCAAAATGAGAATATGAATGCCAAAATGATATGGGAATATGATAATCTTGATGGTATTAAAACGATTTTTTATTTCAAGTTCTGATGGAAAGCTGTTAGGAATCAAGATCGTGTCTTAATTTTTTTCCCCACAAGAATATGGATGCCAAAACTTTTAAAAATTTCAGAATTGATGATTTCAAATTTTATTTTTTTACTGTTTATTTTTTTATAATGATTTTAAATAAAGTTACATATGGGTTTCCAGGAGTAATAACTGTGTTGAAAACTATAGTTTTCTGTTTAGTAGATGATGTTGAACTTTTATACAAACTAGAGTTAAAATTACTCAGTACTTACTTTTCAAAAAAAATTTAAAGTATACATTAGTTTGATTCAATTTTTGTTACATTTTAATTCAATGTTAAAAGTTATAAAAGTAATAGTGTTTATTTATAATAAAATGCCCCAGTTGGGTAGCTTTAAATAAAAACATAATATTAAAAACTTCATCAACTTCAATAGGAACTTTTTGTGGAGCTAAAAAAAAAAGAATATGAAAAATACATATCAAATTTGATTAAAGCTATGTTCGTTTAAAAAATATAAAAAAATTTGTATAGAAGTCATAAAATTAATTATTGTTATAAAAATATCCTTAAAGATAAGAACAAGAACTGCTTTTCATTTCAGATTAATAACAATTTAGATTTTATTCCAATTAAATGGTGGCTGTGATCTCTGTATTAAACTTTGTGTGCATCAAAATGACGCTCATGTATAAATAGATAAGAAAAATATATAAATTTAATTAAAGTCTTAACTTAAAAATAAGTTCTAATTTTTATTTTATGCATTTAGATTTTATTTCATACATTAGAATCTAATATTTAAATTCATAATTCGATCTCAATTTCGATCTAAAATTTCGATTACTTTGGTGTTAATTGTTTGAACAGATTCTCTTACTTGAAGTAATAGACATGTTTCTAAACAGCCTAAAATAAGAGTTTTGATATTACTCCTCTCAGTCTAATACGAAAGCAAGTGGAACTGATTTATAGCGATTTTAGCCTGAAATATTAAATTCTAGTAGTCGCAGTTGTGCCAAATATTTTGGATCTAATATGCGTCTCCCATTCTAAAATGAGAACAGGTGGAGCTGATGTTGTGTGATTTTGAGATAAAATCTAGCAGTAATATTTATGTGGAATATCTTGAATCTAACATTTCGATTCAAATTTTGATCTCTTATGTTGATTGTTTAAACAGACTCTACTACTTGAAGTAATTGTCGGTTGTGATATTACTTATCTCAGTCTAATCCGAGAGCAATTGGAGCTGATTGATTGCGATTTAAGTTTGAAATATTGAATCTGGTAGTTATAATTGTGCCGAGAATCTAATATTTAGTTTCATGTTAAATCTAATGCTCATTTGTATTGTTATAGTAATAAATGGAACTAATTGAAACAATTGACAGGTCTCTAAATGAAGTAAATTCGAAAGTTTTGCTACTTCAACTAAAATTTCATTCAAGCAATGTTCGGGAGGGGCTGGAGAGAGTGATCGGAGAAGATAAATGACTCCATCCAACAAGATTCTTTGGAGTTGACAAGTTGTTCCGTTCAGAGTGACAATCCAGGCAACAATACAGCAATCAGAAACCGCCCACTAAGCCCACTTTCACACAACAAAGTGTGGGCCGAACCTCCTCTTCAAAAGCTGCACAGGAACTCATTATCCCAATCCGCATCCGTGATCAGTAAGACACGCGACCTGATACAAAAGGGCAATCAGTTGAACACATCGGGACATACCCGAAAACGGCAACGTACCTCAACACGCGACCACGCTGGACGTTTGTGGGGAATCAGTCATAGCCAGTGTGACAGTTTTTCTTTCAACCACAGCTGGTATTGTTGAGGCCGTGTGTACGCGAATCGTTGTTGGTGAAGAGGAACATGACTTTTTTGTGTGTGTGTGCTCTCGATTAGCTTTTTTGGGAGCTGGCAGAGTCGATCGTTTTTTTTATGCCTTTTATATTTGTTACAGATATAAATGAGCCTTTTTTTGGATCATAAAGTAGGGAAGTCAAAATGTTTTCATTTTTATAATAAATATAGCATAGAAACGATTCGAAAAGTTTCGAGTAAATACTTTATTAATCGTCCCTTGAAAGATATATATATATATATATATATATATATATATTAATANTATGATTATCGGGTCTCTACTATATATATATATATATATATATAAATAAAAAAAATATGTTACACTATTGACAATTTTGATAGCAAATCGTAGAAACGTCATTAATCAATAGCATGACTATGCCTTTTCATTTTCTAAATAGCTAATACTAATTCTTATTTTGAAATGACAAAAAATGTAATAAAAAATATGTAAAAAAATCAAATAAAAAATATGTAAAAAAAATTTTAATGAAAAATAATAAAAAAATACTAGTTTAAAAAACTATTAGCTTAAATTTTGAGTTTCTAATTTATTTATTATTTTGATCAACAGTTTAAGTGGTTTCATTCGCAATTCGAAGTAAGATACACAAAACACTTTTCCAAGTTACTATGTTTTGAAACTTTTACAATAAATAATGGATTTTTCATTACGGAAATTTTCAATTTAAATTGGATAGCAAGTGGAAAACACCTAATCATGTAATATAATAACATATCTGAATTTAAAAAAAAAACGCATTAAGATTCATTTTGAAAATACTATATAAATATTAAGAAAATGCTGTGATTGATTGTATGCATAATGTATCAGTATATTCTGCTAAGTCTTTAAAGAAGATAGTTTGAATGGAAATATTTTAAAGAACTTAATTTTGTCTAGTTGATTTTCTCACATTTTATAAAACGCCAGTGAATATGCTCTTTCATTAAATTCTGAAATTGTTTAAAACATAATTTTAAAAAACTCTAAGATTAATGCATATATTTTTTAGAAATCAAACTATAGCAGCAGATAACTACATAAATTAAAATTTACGATTTTAACTCCTTCGATAAACAATAATTCATTTGCAAAAAATGAATTTTATCGTGCCATTTCAACTGTTAAATGATTCAGAAAGATTTTATGTTATATAAGCACTAAATAATTTTTTTAAAAAAGCATTAAGTTGTTTTTAAAATGAAAAATTTTCAAAGTATTCTATAAAAAATTCCAGATAACATTACGGTAAGAAATACCGGTATCTTAGGTGTATTATCTATAAAATTAATTTTACCTTGAAATTCATTTTTGCTTTAAAATATTTCACCGTATATTTTACAGCAATAATCATTTAACTACAGTGATTCTATAATAAATAGTTTTGCAAAAATTACGATATGTCAGATTTCTTTTCCGTTAAATTTCACAGCAATTTGATCCTGAATTTTTTACAGTGTATTTTGAAATTCTGTCATTTAAAAAACAGTACACTAAATTTAGTATTCATTTTCTTTATTTTGTTTTTTATGTAGTGCTTATTTAAGGTCAAATCTTTTTGAACCACTTAGTAGTTGGAATGGCACTATAGAACTCCTCAATAACTGGAATATCAAGAAGGATACTAATTGTTCTGTTAAAAGACTGTGTTTGTTTCCAAACTGCAGTAAACTTTACAAGCACTTACCTCTAGCACTCGTACTAAATTTTGAAAATATGCTATTAAACAAAAACTTAAAGGTCCAACACTTTTTTAAGGAAAAGTAAAAGAAACAAAATATTGCACGTAATCTGTTCAGAAAGTATTTTGAAGATTCAAAATATTAAAAAAAAATAACGTGATTAATAATGGTGAATTGTGGTAACATACCTGTACCCTGGCTTCCGTTAAATCGGTTTTCATGGCTATTTCTTCTCTTGTGTAGATATCTGGATAATGTGTCTCTTGAAAGGCTCTTTCTAGCTCTTTCAGCTGAGAACTTGTGAAGGTGGTACGGATTCGTCTTTGCTTTCTTTTTTCCGTCAACACACCATCATGGCCGGTGTATACTTTGTATGGCAAACCACCTGCGTACAAGACATAATTGAATTAGTTAAAGCTGAATTGAATTAGTTATATCTGTATGTTGGAAATTTAAGCGAAGTAAAATCATATCCAAAAAATAATAATGGTTTGGGTAATTTTTCTGATGAATTAAACAATTTAATTTCGAGATATACGTAATGCTAACAGAATTATTGTTAACTCTTATAAGACTATCATAATTCTGTGCTTTTAAGTTACATGCGAAGTAGACCTGAAAATTTTAAATTTTCATTTAGTAGCCGGTGACCAGTAGACTCTAATAACTTAGTAGCCACTTTTTAGCAGCCACAAACCTAAAGAGTCGGTGACTGATATCGAGAAGGTCCTTTTCACTTAATAGTCATTTTCTGCACAATTTTTTTTTCTTGGATTAAATTATATTTTAAAAAATTCGTATTAGAAATGATCTACGGCTATAAAAAGTTATTTCAACAATAAAAGTAATATAAATACGTATGTGCAAACTTTAGTTAAACTTTCTGACTTTAAAGAACACTATTTAAAAGTATTTAAGGATTCAAAATACATTTAAAGTATAAATTATAGCTTTGAAATATGTGAATTGTTAAAGAAATATCCTTTCACATGAATTTTTTCCTCTCAAGTTGATTGATTCTGGAGGATCAAAATTTCGAATGGACGAACATTGGACATTTTAATAAAAATTCTGCTTTCCAGAATCTTTATCCATTGATGTAATTTTATCATTAAACACAATTTAAAAAAAGGGAGGAGTGACCGGTTATTTATTTAATTTAAGCCGCCACTTTTTTTAGTAGTGGTGAGTGGTTATTTTCAGGTCTAAGGCAAAGTAGTACGAAATAAATTCAGTTCGAAAAAATAATCATGTTTAATGTAATTGTGACCTGTAAAGAGCTAAAAACATGAATCAGATTGGCTACAATAGGGTATCCAAACTATTTTATGATAGATTTATTAGATGGTGGTGCTCTCATTTCTTTAACTTATTTTATTTACCACTACTTAATTTGAAATAAAATTCATGCAAGCTTACTTAAATTTTATGCGAATTAGTTATGTCGAAATTAAAGTGAAAGAAAAAGCAATTCTGTTCCATTAAACTTACCTATATAGATGCACCTACTTTATATAATTTTCTCTGATTAATAAATATCCCTTATAATGTCACTTGCCTGCTTCTTTCACAAAGCTCTTAATGTAATATTTAAAGATGTTAATGGTTTTTTGAACGTAAAATATAAAACATCTATCTATCAAGCTTTACTTATTGCTAAATCTATGATTAGTAGTGACAGTTCATATTTCTTATACTAACTTATATTTATATTAATTTAAGCATGTTTTATATGCAATATCTATTAAAATTGGAAAATGAAATAGGTTGTTTTATTCAATTATTTGATATCAAAATATTTGTAAGAAATATTACTATTTTTTGAGCATTTACATCATAAGTTAAAACTCACACTTATTTTTTTCGTATTTTAGGAATATTCATTCTATTATTTTTACACAGCTGTACTTTCATGTATAATTTATACTTATTAAGAATGGCATTCAAAAAAAATTTAACAAATGTAGTTTATTAGAAAATATTTGTGTAATTATCATAAAAAAATATTATCCACACATTTTTTATCAATATCTTATAATTAGCTTAATGAAAATAAAAGAATTATCTGAAATATTAGAAAAATAAAATGCTTTGATATTATTTTTAGAATATCAGCTAAAGATAACTGCGAACTGTTTAAAGCTATACTACATGTTACAATTCAAAGCAATGTCTTAAATTCACTTTTAACTAGCCAGGGAAAGCTTTGTTAGTCAGTTTTTCATAGAAATTTGAAATACTTCTTAAATATAAATCAGAATGTTCTCAACAATTGTCATACAATCACTTTTCCAAAAAGGGATGCGTCATTGAAGTAAATGATCCGGTGAAAAGGGGATTACCCCATTGCAAACAGTTTATTGCATTAAGCTTTGTTGTTAAATCTGCACTTATATTGACTTTCAATTCGCAATTATTATCATTATTTATCCACTTCAAATAAAATATATACTTTATATTCTATTTCTTTGTATTATATGTTACATTATGATTTCCATATTATTCATAATTTAAATAATTAAAATAAGTATTTAAACAAAATATTGTTTCAAAAAAGTTCTTTAAACAATATAAAATACAGTACTTGAAGTTCTTATTATTTAATGAACTTATTTTGTCCCCATATTTTGAAATTGACGTTTTAATTATTTGAATAAAATCTAGTTGTTCCTAATTTTTTAAAACTTCTCACTTGTTTACGGAGAAAAAAAGTCTAGTTAAACTACTGTACTGTTAGGTAATGATATTTCTGGTAAAGAAAACGAATTTATGGTTAATAAAACCAAAACACTCGGTATTTAAACCATTCATTTGGTAATTTTCCCGTTCATATGGTAACAGTTTTATTGGAAATTCTGAGATTTTTTTTACCACACATTTAGTAAAAATGCAAAAGTTAAATGTAAATTTAACGGAATAAATTATTTTTATGCTATGCTCTAAAGTATCATGATAAATTTGCCAAATTTGACCACAGTTACCAAATTTTATTTCATATTATAAAACCATATTTTATTATTAGTTTTATCAAAATCATTACGAAAGCGATTCATTAAAAATTATTGAGCTTTCGCTGTTCCTAAAACAATGCTCATATAGCCAAAAGAACAGTAAATTTTACAATATTCGGGTAGTTTTGGTTATATTTTTTTCTCAGTGTAGTTTTTAGTGTAATATTCTGATTGAAAAAAAAAAGAAAACAGTTGACATTTTTTGTTAAACCCGATTTCAATTTTCATCCGATTTACTTAAAAATCAGACAGCGTGATTATTATTCATGTAGTTCTCATTGCATTTCAGATAAATTTTTTAAAAAAAATGTGTCCAGTTTTACCACATATATTTACGAAATAATGTCTTACTCGATATTTATCACTTAAGTAATCAGCATTTATATACGTATATTGTTAAATTTGTACTTAAACCTAGCGTGGAGAAAAAGTTATCGAGATCGCTAGTGTACGAAAAAGGGAGAAACCATTTTATGTCGGCCATAGCATATTAAATCATATTGTATTTACACGCATTTAATGTATTGCATGTTAATGCAATGCAAGCTGCATCTTACATTGTGATAAAATTTGGCAATTTTATCATGTTACCTTAGAGCAGTGACTAAAAGCTATTTATTTGACTAAATTAACTTTTCTGTTTTGTATTTTTTACTAAATGTGTGGTAATAAGAATTTTGGAAACCAGAATTTCTGTTAAACCACTGACATATGAACGGGAAAATTAGCTAATGAATGGTTTAAATACCGTTTAGTCTAGTTTTATTAATCAAAATACTCGTTTTTTTTCTTCAAAAAAAGAAAAAAAAATTCATTAATATGCAGTATGATAAATATATCAAACTTTTTTCCTCCGTGAAGAATGCAGAAAATTCGCATGAAATTACGGTTCAAAATACCGATGTTGTAGTTCTTATAATAGCGTACATTTATATGTTTTAGAAATCTACACACAATTAAATAATTTTTTTAATACCGAGTACAAACTTGAGTCCATGGATAAGCTAAAAGACTTGATAGATAAAAGTGTTTTCACATGCTTATAAATCAGTATTGCGAGAGTAAATACTTAATAGCCAGAATTGTTCATGTAAGAATTCGTTTGATGTATGCATAATCTTGTTAGCTATCTTAAAGTTACATAATTAAAAGTATATCGAAATATTTTAGACATTGAAGCAGTAAATGCCTTTTCGTAGTTTCATGGCAACTTAAACACTATTTCTCTAAATCATTTTCAGACAATTTTTAATAACTGATTCTGTTTAAATAAGTAAGAAACATGAAAATCATTAGAATAATCTTATATTTTAGAAGCGTAAAATAAAATTATCAGATAATTTTTATTTATTATTTTTTTTTTTGCAAAATAATAGCAATGAAAAATTTGTAAAGGGGAGAGAAAGGAAATATAATAGAGAAAGAATCAGACCCAAATGCTGTAATAGGAATACTTGCATTTGATATAAATGCTAACTACGAACATAAGTTTTCAAAACAGCAATATTAATTATTCTAAAGGATGTATTTTTCCATTACAATTTCAATTATTATTATAAAAATTTTTTAAAATATTTGCTTTTCTATAAATTGTTCTATCGCATCTAATAAAAATGAGCACATATTTTTAATGATAAAATACATGCCATTTTAAGCTTATACAAACTTTTAACATGTGATGTAAATTACTTAATATACTATTTTTCGTTTTAACATTTTAAATTTTTAACACTAAATACATATATTTTTTTTTTTACATTCAAGTATTAACATACAATTTGTTAAACAAGATCAAAAAGTTATTCTATGAATGGAAGTTAAGCAATTATAGATTCTTAGGCGTTAATCATTCATGAAGAAATAACAATTAGAATTTCAAGAAAACGCAAAATATCGTTTTAAAGAGAAAGGAAACAGATCCTTTCCCCGAAATAGAATTTTTTATTCCATTTTATTCCAATTTTAATCGAGCGATTTTCAGCATTAAATAATATTTCTACAAATAGTTTAATATTTTTTTTAAAGAAGCAAAGTATCACGTAAAATAAAATTTTCAATCCTTAAATCATGAATAAAACCTGATATTATAAAGATATTATAAAGTTGTAAATTATTTTGGTTTGTATTTTAATTTTAAAAAAAAGTCTAATTTTTCTTTTAAAAGAATAGAAATATGATGGAATTAACTATTGAATAATATCGATATAAATATTCATACTTTTGAAATCAAACAGATGAATAATTCATTAAAAATAAACTATTAAAATGGTTAACAAAGAAGCAATAAAATTATTTTCAAGACTATTTTACATAAATCGTTTGATAAAAATAATAGCTAATGATATCGTTTGCATGAGAAAACGATATCACTAGC